ATACGCTAAGTAGAGCGATAAACTAGTATATATTTATATATATATATATATATATATATATATATATATATATATATATATATATATATACATACACACACACACACACACACACACTGGTACAATAGTAAAATATTATGTACCAATGAATTGCAGTATTTTATGTAACTAATTAATGTGTCTCCTTTTTAGGTGAATTCTGACAAACTCTTTGTTTTATACATGCTTTAAATAATTCATTGTATGTTATCATGAGATGTTTTCCTCATAAATATACAATAATTACTTTCAGAAAATGTTTTAAAACTAATATAGATTACATTTAAAACAGTCAAAGCTATTTCTCAAAACAAAAGTGGGCAAGATGGTTGTTTTTTCTACATTTATAAATTTATGGATTTAACAAACTGGGAGTCAATTTTATTCAGTATTTCAATATTGAATTTTGTCTTTCTAATTAGAAGAATAATTTATTGCAGGAAATCAATCTAAAATTTCTGTCTCTATATTCATATTTTGGCTATTTACAAAGCTATCAAAGAAATTAATATTTAGTTGCTGGTAATTGAGCAAGTGAGGATAATTTGCTCTAAGCAAAATATCAAAATATTCATTTGTAAAATTTAAAGACATTTCACCTTGGAAACTTCTCTGATCAAAATTCAGTGTGATCCTGACTAACGAGCATATATTCTATTTTGATGCAATCAAAATTAAAACAATTATTCTGTGATTTTTTTCATCATATTGACCTTTCATATGCCCTGTTATTTTTTTCAGCAAGTCAAGTTTAATGAATCATGGATCAACCACAGAAAATATTTCATTAACGAGTTTTCACTTTCAAAAACTCAATTAAATGATTTTATTTACAGCAGTGGATTATCAAACAATTCTAAAAGAAATCAGAAAAATATTTCAATTTTTTTAACCTATTAATTTTTAATATACAATTCTAGTTCAAAATGAAAAGTTTGAAATAATAATTAAAGCCAACTGTCCATTCTTTATGAACATCATAGATGATTTCTGAAAGGTAAAAGTTCAAGTTAAATGGCATTAAATTAAATCAGTTCTGTCCTATGACAATAGACATAAATTGAAATTAACTCACCCTAGCTTAAGCTTGGTTATAAACCTTTAACACAGATATTAAATAAAAGATCAAAATACTTTCACTAATTATATTTACTTATAACTTTTTAATCCTAACAATGTTTTCCATAATCTTATATGACAAGCACAAACTTTATATGTAATGTTTCATGATAACAAACATTAAGGATATTTTCAAATATAGACCATGCCAAATGATACTACATCATTAAAATAAAATTTAATATTTGTGTAAGTTGTTTCCGTAATTATTCAGACTAATATTCTCACACCTTTGTTGTCTATGCAACAATGTTTAGATCTTTTATCGTCTTTTTATGTTAGACTAGATCAGTAGCTCTCAAGAGGCCCCTCTCTGAACTCCCAGTAATTTAAATTCTGAGTGGAGGAATAAATTAAGTTTGTATCTTTATAAACTTTACTTTTATATAACACATTATTATAATATAGTTCTTGATAAAGAAACCAATTGCAGTATTTTATTTTTATCAAAATAATAATAAAAAAAAATAAAATCACTCGGATCTCTCTAATGTAACCTCTTTATCTACTTGCTATTTTTAAGGCCGATATCCATCTGTAGTATACATTGTTTTTTTATCATTTTGCCCCAAGCAAGGCAATAATGCAAGGGTTTACTGAGAGTGAAAGACAAGAAGAAGCCATTAGTGAAAAGAAAGGACAAAATTAATTGGGTTTCAGTAATCATAACAGCAAAAATAAAGTGCAATAAAACAAATAATTTATTCTTTCACAAGGTTTAAAAGATGGAAGGATTTAAAAACCTCTGGAATCTCTAATAGAAGGATACAATATTGAAGAATACACAATACTGGCTTAGATATTTCAAGTAGATGTATTAATGCATAGCTTGCTTTAAGATAAACTTGTAAAAAACTGAAATAAGACAAAAAATAATAATGATGATAAAATAAGTATACTAATGGTAGTAGTTGTAGTCAAAGTATTGTTTAACCTTTCACTATCAACAAAAATACTAATTATCTTCTTTTTTTTCTGACAACAGATAATTTTGCAGGGTTTCAGCTTAAAACTTGACAGATTCAGTGCAAGGATATTATCTAAAACTGGCCCTCTATAAAAGTAAATAAAAGACAGTTTTGTGGCAGTTTTACAGAATATTTCCTTCTTTAACTTCTGTTGTGAGCTTTATTTATCTATCAAAATGTTCACAGAGTAGAGAATATAATTTTGATCAGATTTTTTAACTTATTCTCTACACTAACAGAAAACAAGGTAAAAATTCTAATACAGATTAGATATTTTACACATAAACATAATAGCAATAATTATACTTTTTGTTAAGAAATTATTTTTGAGATTTGGTATGAAATTGAACTAAATTATATTTCAGGTCAATAGATACCTTCCTGTTAGCTTTGCAACTGCTATAATAGCATGATACAGAATTTAATAGTGGTTTCATGGTTTAATTGTACAACTCTGATAAGAAAACTTTGAATTTATTTCTCTTATTATTTAGTTTAAATTTTGACAGCCCAATATTTCATTCATCATCATATAAAAATCTTCAATAAAATTTAAATGCAAAATTATATTAATTTAAACAATTTAGTTTTGATTTTACCTTTATGAAGTTAACAGATTTTTTTAATTTTTAAAATCTACCTTTAAGCCACTTATTAAGAAAAGTAAAAAGGAATATGTTTATTCTTTGTTTTGCTTGAGTTATTATGTAAGATTCTTTTGCTTCAAAAGTACAGATAAGAAAATGAACTGAGCATTTATAAAAAATAAGTATGTAGCATCACAAAGAGAATTGTATTTTTTTATTTTGATATGAAAATTTCAAAACTAATTTATAATTTATTTATGTTTTATAAATGTTAAAACATGTAAATAATATGACTGTCACACTGAATATTGTCTGTTATGTTTGCAGTACTGTCACTAAAATTAATGCACTTTAGTAGATATGGATCAAAATATAGCTTTTTGAATGATAACTAAACATATAATCAGAAGAAACACCACAGGAAATTTTCATATAAAACTTTAGGATAAGTTATTGTTATTATTTGATTATTTATCCTTTCTACCGTTTTAAATATCATTATCTATAAGATATATCATTATCTATAAGATATAATTCCATAAGTTTTTTTAGAATTTGGGGACTATAATGTAAATTTTGTTTATAAAAATGTCTTTAAATTTTATATGTAAACTGATTTGTTATTTTTTCCTCTAGATTTCAATTGGTTCCGATTCCTTCTGCAGTCTTTACTTGATGACAATGTGAAGAATCTTCATTTATCTTACTGAGGGAAAGAAATAAAATATAAAAGTGAGAAAGGAAAATAAATGAAAGAAAAATTCATATAAAAGAATATTTAAACCTTTTGACCAGGTGCAACATTTATCTGAAGGAGGCTAGAGAATGGACCAGCTGAATTTTTGGGAAAAAAAAATTATATTTTAATAGTCTTCTCACTCCCCATTTATTGAATGATACCTCAGTAAGCTGAATATCTTTGCTTTTCAAAACTCCAGATTACATGACATTTGGGCAAGATGTAATACTTTGAGACATACTTGCAAGTCCAATTCAAAATAAGATATTAAAGGAAAAAAGAAACTATATATTTGATTGAAAACTATGGTAATAATGTTGAAAAATATATTTAAACACTAAAAAATAAATAAATAATAAAAAACACTACACAGTCTTTAAATGATAGTCAGTATACCACAGGATTAATAGATACATGCAGTGCTGGTGCATACTACCCTGGAGGACGAAGCCTGATTGGGAGCCCTGAGCAGTGCAGAGCATGAGACCTTTGCACCAGCCCTGATATGCACATTAGAGCCTATATGTCAAAATATAATATTCAATATATGACATACAAATAAGTGTCAATCAATTACAAAAATTAACTCATTTATATATCTATCCAAACTTAATGAACTGTAAAGAAAATTTGGTTTAGAAGTAGTTAAAACATTGATAGTTAATTAACTTGTCTGTTCAAAAATCTGGCTGGTATGGAATTATCTTTTTGCACAGCAATGCCTATATGAGTCATTTACCTCAAATATTGTTTAGCGCATATTAGTTTTATGATTGGTTTCAATATTTGTTGAACAAATCCTTCCTTTATGCACATTTGGTGTAAAGAAAAGAAAAACTTCATACCAGTATTTATTTTAAAAATGAAGATCAATATTTCAAATCACAATCAATGCAATTCAAATCATGTAAGTGTCCAAAATTTTCTTTAGAAAGTAACATTATAAAACTAAGGTGGATAAGAAGCACACAATATTTATTCATCTTGTCAGGCAAGTGGAAAGTGAAAATAATGAAATATACACATAGGCATACAAAGAAATGATCCTAAATCAATAAACAAAACAAAATAAAAAGGAATCTAAGAAATAATGCAGCTGGAATAGATACAAATAAGAGCAAATAAATATATGAATTGATCTGTTAGTTTCTGTCTTGCTCAACTCTGCTTCAAAAAATGAGAAAGAGAAAGAGAAATTATAATTTTAAGAAAAATATTAAAAAGTCGACTTTCTCATTGAGTTCACTCAACTAATTGGTGTGGGGAGAGTGGATTATTGTAATTAAATTGCAACTGACTGTTGCTGCTCAATGAAGCATATTACTGGCTAGGCTGTCAGCTGCAGATTGGAAGAACAGAGACAGCTAATTCAGCAGACTCTTTCCTTGGGTGAAAGAAAATAGGAGGCAAGAAAAGAGAGAAGAGGAAACATTATTAGCTATTCGACATAAGATGGGGAGTAGTAGTTAAAAAAAAGGGAGAGAGATAGAGTAGAAAGAAAAGGTGAATAAATAAAATAAAGAGGAGGGTATGAAAAACAATAGAAAATTAAGAGGAAACAAGATATTGAAAGGATGAAGATAAAATAAAGAAAATTAAAACAGAAAGAAATGGGATAAGGGATAAAGAAATGTAAAAAAGAGAGTGAAGGAACAATATGGGAAGAATTAAAAGAGAGAAAAAAATATGAAAGAATGGTAGAGAGATAAAAATAGTAGAAACAGAAAGAATAAGAATGTAAAAGAAAGGATGACAAATAAAAAAATGAAACAGAAAATTATTTGAAAGAATGGTAGAAAGAAAGTGAAGTGAAGAAATCTGAAAGGAAAATGGACAAAGAAAAAGAAATAAAACAGGAAGGAGAGAGAGAGAGAGAGAAAAAAAAAGGTAGGAGATAAAGATAATGTATGAGAAAATAAAACAGAAACCAACTCAGATCTTCATAAGGGAAAAGATGGACAGAATAGATCTTTGAGGGATAAACGATGATAAGACTTAACAAGTATTTACTGATTAATAACCAGAGAGAGAAACAAAGATAAAAGAAAGTGAATGATTAATGGATAGTACAGAGAAATATATTGGTGACAGGAAAGAATGAGGTGCAGGAACAAAGGTAGAAACAAATAATGAGTAGGGGTAAGGAAAATAAAAGGAAATAGAAAAAGGAAATGAAAATCAAAAGAAATGGAGATGGTTAGAAAAAGGAGGAAGATAAAAACAGAACTGAAGACAAAATATGGTATGAGATAAATAAAAATTAGGATTTGCATGAAAAAAAAAGTTAATAAAAGTGACAAACGATGAAAAAGGGAAAATGTGAGATATAGAAATTAAGTAGGTTGAAGAAAGAGAAATTTGTGAATCAAAGAGGAGATTCAAAATAAAAGAGAAAATTAAAAAAATAAAAAAGATTAAATAGTGGAAAATGAAGTAACTGAAAGAAAATAAAAGGAGAAATAAAAAAAAAAGTCAATGAAAATAAAGAGATTAAAGAAGAATTGAGAAATTAGAGAAATAAAAAAAGATGTGAAAACAAAAAATAGAGAAAATGAAAGAAAAAAGAAAGAGGAGAAAGTGATGGAGGAGAACAAGAGATTAAAAAGTGATTAGAATGTGTGTAAGGGAGAAACGAAGAGGATGAGAGACAAAATGTGGAGGTTATCTAAAACAAGCAAGCAGGAAGAAGCTGTGCACACATGTGTAAGACGCACTGCTTCAAATCTACAAAACTGCACAGATCAATAAGTGCCTGATATCAATATCCCATGGCTGCCGCTGGTGGCTTTGTTTTATCCGCAGCGTCATGCAACATGTGTCTGAGATGGCAGTCCATTCAAACACACACACATACACACTCATCAGTAGCAAGGCACTCTTCAATTCAGGAAGTCTCACTTGTGCCTGAGTACATGCACAAGCGACTGCTCAGTTTCTCATTAGTTCAAAAGCATCCTCTGATAACACAGAGTGGCAAGATCAAAATCCAACATTCACTTGGGAAGATAGTGGAGAAATAGAAGGAAAGTAAAATAGAAGCGTAGGGAAAGATGGATAAGAAAAGAAAAGGGAGAAAGAAAGTAAGAGAGTGATGTCAAGTAAGCTGAGACAGCAGAATACATGAAGGCTAGGGAAAGAAATGAAGGGGGGAGTAGAGAAGAAAGGATAAAGAGAAGAAGAAAGTAAACAAAAAAAGGCAGGAAGAAGAAAGTAAAAAAAGTGAGAATGTAAAGAGAAGAAAATAAGAAAAAGGAAAAAAATAAAAGGCAGGTAGAATATATAAGTAGGGAAAAGAAAGGAAATCAATGAACAAAAGAGTGGAAGAAAAAGATGTGAATGAAAGAGAATTTAGGAATGAGAAAAGCTTTAACGATAAAGTAAGAAGCAAAGAAAGAGAAGATAAAGTAAGGAATGGATTGAAAATGAAAGAAAAATAATAAGGGAAGGTAATCAAAGAGAAAAAAAAACGTCAGGTGGTAAAGAAGAAAAATGACAAAGAGAAATAAAAATATAGCTTAAAGAGAGAACAAAAAAGAATTACAAGAATATCTAAAGATGAAGAAAAGAATAAGGGAGAACGAAAGAACAAAAAGTGGGAAATCAAGATATGAAGAAAGAGAAACAAATATCTCAAAGGAAAAAGGAAGGAAGGAAGAAAAGTCGTTAAAAGAAAAAAAAAAGACATGAATAAAATTAACAGTTAGGCAGGCTGACAGACTAGAAAGGAAGGAAATGCAATGGTAGTTTCCCTCTCCACTAACACCTCATCTATACTGATTGATTCTACAGATAAATCATGTTTACAGTGATAGAAAAAATCTTCTCTGGAGTCAGGAAAAAAAAAATAAGGGTTTTTCTCTCTCACTCTCTCGTTCAACATCATGATTTCTTCCAACTCAATTAATCATAAATTGAGTCACATTTGTCCCTTGAATGACAATGCACTCAAGGGATTGGTTGCCTGTCATGTTACACAAAACAAGTGCTATATAACACCATCATTTTCGGTGGGAGTTACTAAATCTTCTCTCCCAAATGCTTTTTGCAAGAAATGAGTTGGTTTCACTAAAACAACTAAGCTTACTAACAGCCGAAGAACAATATACCAAATAAAACCACTTTACTATATTTTTATATTCATCTATACACTTATACAGACAGACATAGATATTTCACTGTGGTTTAATGGTTAGCACAATAGTCTTAGAGGCCATAAATTCAACTGCAATTTTGATCCTTATGTCAAACTAAGCTAAACAAATATCAATCAAGACAAGCACAAGCACATATATATATATGTGTGTACATGCATGCATGAACACATATATACAAGTAGGTGCTGAAAAGTTCTTGACCCAACCAAAATCAGTCTGCTGATGTTTGATCATTGAAATACTGATTTTTAGAGGTGGATTGGGTACTATATATATATATATATATATATATATATATATATATATATATAAACACTTACTTGCTGAATTTTGACCCAAAACATTCACTAAATAATGGTTAATCTATGTTAAAATTCATCACTGAATTGATTCCACTGAGAGTAGATTATGTTAAAAAAAATAAATTTGTGCAAAATAAATGCTCTATACTTATTGATTTATCGCACACACAAATATATATATATATATATATATAGGGAGAGAAAGTTTAGAAAACTGATTTCATTAAACAATAGAGAGTGTTATGTATTTTACAGACATTAATCTTATAGCTAAAAAGCTCTTTTTCTGGTTTGAAATGAGTTTTTTCTTTACATTTTTCATGTTATCTTATGAGATATGACAAACAAACCATCAAATCTTGAATTATAAAATTCTGTCCCCTAACCACTTAGTTTATACCCTCAAATATGATATTTGCTTGATCAAATAGTAAAAATTTATTATGACACATTTACATATATTTATGTTAGGTGAACTCTGCTCTAATGTCTTCTCTTAAAAAGCATAGCTTTTTATTTATTAGGATTTTATAGCAGTCAATAAAGATTCCTTTAAAGTATTTTTACAGGAAAAAAATCAAATTGTCATAAATAATAATTCAATAACCACTTTTATGCCCTGCTGAAAAATTATTATTCTTTACAAATATATATTTGCTTCTGCTTTTTGTACTTAAAACAAATAACAACAAAGAAATCTAAATCACCCTCACATCATCTAAGGATAGGTTCTTTTATCTCAAATAATACTTTCTGAGGAAATAAAATTTAGTTATTACAAATGATAATTATCATTATGCAAATTCATACAGTGATTGACTGTAGCAAGGTTACTAGCTCAAAAATTTGAACCACCAATGGATCCTGCCATTAAGTCAATCATGCTTTATATAAAGACTGGTAAGAGTAACCAATTCAGTTTATATTTCCATTTGTGTAATATTAGTTTCCTAACTTTGTGAAGACAACTGAAAATATAATAAAATAAATATTCTGAGTACAATTTCAATATGATAGTTTTGTAAACCATTAAAATTGAATTTGATCTTTGATCTCTTGTCTAAATATGCAGCTTTTGGCCAGTGATGCTCATCTCTTAGTATATACTTTGAATATTCAAGTATTCTTTTTTGTCACTTTTCTTTTATATTAATTCTCTAGGCTTCTGCATGTACACTTGTTAGTTAGATCACATTGCAGACTGTCACCTACAGATAAGTAACTTTTTATATAATGTCTCGAAAGATTTTTAATTTTTGCAAATTTGTGCATTTTTTTTAAATTTGTGGATTTTCACATGATTTATACACTTAGTATACTAAGCCTTATAAATTGGATTTAAATATTATATCTGTTATTGGAAATCTAATTCAACTTCTACTTTAAAACTTTACTTATCAGTTACTGCAAAGATTGACTGTTCACAGTTTTTGAATTTTTAGTATTCATATTTTCTTAATCATATGGATGAAATATAAGGTATAACATTTTTAGTAGCAAATTATTAACATGAAAATACTGTTTGGTTGTTTTCTACAGTAAATGTTTAAAAATATTTTTAAATACTTCCACACTAGATATACTGTCATAATCAGATTCTTTTTTGTGGAAAACATACAGACAAATACAGCATGTAATATATATTAATCATCATATTTGGTGTCCAATAATTAATATTTTACAAGGATATTGTAATATGGTTCTAAAGTAGGATGCTGAGGTTACCATGGACTGAAAATGTGAACAACAACAACAACAAAGTTTTAGAGAAAATGGAAACAAAAAGGACACAGTTCACTTACTCACAAATACCCTTGGGAAAGGTATGAATCCATCTCTTCTCCCCCCAGTTATGGGTTGAATAGCAGGACAGACTGGGTTCTTTAGCTTTGACTGGCAACCAGTCTACTGCAGAAAGTAATGGCAACCTACTGCAAGAAAAAAATCTGCCTCGTCAGTCATGTATCGAAAGATACATGATCACTCAAGCATGTATCACATATGGCCCATATCTGACTGATACTTAACATAGAAATAGAAAACTGAAATTTCTAGGGAACATAATGAGAAAAGAGGGCTTACTAATTTGAGACTTGCAGAATATAATGATGGCAAGAGGAACAGAGGAAAACAGTACATAACCTATTTAACAAGCTTGTGTAAATGGTTAGTAGAACAGAGTTTAGGGGAGATAGCAAAAAGCCAAAATTTACTAAGAGCTAGAAAGGACAAGGAATTGTGGCAAGCTATGATTGCTTATATCCTGAAGGGACATGACATAGAATAAGTTCTAACTTCTGCTCACTGCAATTCATTTAAGCTTCCTAGCTGTATATATTGAGTTTTTGATATTTGGTTACCCATTTGTAAGACCTTTATATAGCATGTCTTTTCAGGACATGGAAAATCATTGCTCTCCACAACTTCTTGTCTTTTTTCTCTATACTATCTTTCTTAGTCACTGTGGACCTTGTTCTGCCATTTGAATACTGGCTTTTCATTTTCCATTTATAACATATAACTTAGAATATTTTTATAATTTTCTTTTCAGATAAAGCAAAAGGTGTAATTGGTCTATCACCATAAACACCATCTATTATTTATTAGCTATTAATCATGCCATACATACAGTTTCTATGATAGTTTCCAATTATTATTATTTCATATTAATGACTCTAAAAATGCACATCCTAAAACCAAGTATCTAAGGAAAAAATATGAGAAGATTCTAACTTGTTAATTGTATAATCAGTTTAATAACCAGCCATCTCAAAACTGTATTTCAGTATATCAAGGAGAAAAAGAAAAATGTTTTAC